ATGAATTATTTTTCTTCCTGGTACTCCACCTGAAGGCCAGAGATGCAATATGTCTAGGTCATGTGATTCTACACAGTTGCTAAGCAACACAAGAGGGACTGCTTCCTAAAGAGCTGTCTTTGACCCAAACTCTTACAATTCACTGTTCAAAGCTCACCAAAAAAAGGTAATGGTTTGGCCTTCCCTCTGAACATTTTATTCAGGTAGTTGGAAGTAGAAATTACATTTTAGCTTTACAACACAAATCCTTTTGTAATTATTTTTCATAATATATGTAAGACTTGAAAAGAAATGTTTGTTTCTATTTCTTATAAATTGTTAAATTAAATAGTACTAGTTTCTGCTGGCTCGTTTCCAACTGGTATTTTCTTATGCACGTTTATACATGTAAAAGTGAGATTCCAAAAGTCAACTTCTTGCTGTTCATATTTTCTTTTATTTTTGAACCAAAGTTTGTAACTGTCACCTCAAAGAGGGAAATACAAATTTTATTAATAAAATCAAGTCTTGTTTATCTGGATTGGTCATTCTCTTGTTTCAATGTCCAAAATGCACCACTGTCATTACTGTAACTTTATTCTGCTTCCAGACCATCCAGGCTTGAAAAATGGGATGTTGCTACATGTCCTAGCAAGCACTGGGAAGAGAAGTGTTAACAGAGAAGGTGCTGATCTGGCCATTGGCAGTAGGCAGCAGGGATAAGTTCACATGTGGCTGATATGGATTTATAGCTCCAGCAGTCCAGATAATACCATCAAACACAAGACAGGAGCCTGATACTCCTTCCCCAGCCACTCACAACCTACAGTGACTGTCCATTCCTCAGTCTTGTGCTTGTCCTTGTAGGACTCCATTGGGTAGGCAAATGACCCTATTTATTAACAGGAAATGGAAGACAAGAATGAGACCAAGACTTGGAAAGTAGTGGAACACAAAATGCCCAGCACCTTCCATCTAGTTCCATCTGTGGAATCAGAACCAGCGATGGGTCCAATGACATGACACATGCCCCCTTCTCCAAAGAACCTTCTCTCTTTTTAATCTGCTATTTGTTTGTCATTAACTCTGGCAATGTCTAAGCTGTGAGAGCAGCTGCAATAAGTTTGGCAGAGAAGCAGCCACTTTTTCCCGCTTAGGGGGGCTGCGCCAAGTTAGGAGCTGACCTGTTAAAGCCTATCTAAAAGAAACCTCCTTGTTGAGTGCTTTAGGGTAAAAAATAAAGATGGTTGTGGTTTGGCAGAGTCAGGATTAGTCTGCAGCAGATTGTTGTTTCTAAGAATGTAATGATGTATTGAAGCAGCCAAATGAAAGAGGATCTTCTCCAGAATTAGTCCAAGCATCTTGCCAAGGTTTGTGTCAGCAACATCACAAAGGAGGAAATGAACTTGAGTCTTCTACTCTTTTCAGCAAGGGCCCATCTGGTTTATTCTTTAATATTTCTTTAGGCCTTAACCACTTACCTTACTATTTATCCTTGTCATGAAAGCATCTCACCATTGCTTGTTATCTAACCTCTCTTTGTCCATTGTCTTTTTCAATCTGCTGTTCTTGTTCTCTCCAAATTTCAGATTAAAGGAGGGATAATGCCATTATATATACCTGCCTTCCAGCAAAATTAGGCTCTTGTTTTTCCCTTGAAAGAAGTCTCTTATTAGCAGTGCTTAAAACCCAAACAAACAAGCAAAAGGGGAATTCAGAACAGAAAGAAGTTTCACATTAAAACTCACATATTGGTCTTCCTATGAAAAAAGCTTCAGATTCTATAGTCAAATTCTAATAGCCATAAAAACACAAAACCTCCGATTCATGATGCAGTATTATAAAATCCATAGAAACAAATCAAACCTCCAAAACTATGCAAGCCAAATTCCTCTCTTAACCAAACCCAAAATAAAACAATGATCTTATTCTTCAAACCCTAAATTAAAGACCTGTGTAATCACAAAAATACTTGAATTGTTATAGGACACATGGATTTTACATCTAGAAACAGAACTTGGATGTTCTGTGATCTTAAGGGTTCACCCTACCTAAAGCAGACTGGGCAATTTGTTTTGAAAGTTTGCTTCAAGATGCTCTGAACAGAAAGCCATCCTGGAGATGGTTTCTTCACTGCAAAGACAGATTGTGGTTGTGTTGCATGGAAATGGAGTAACTCAGCACATGGCAAACCAAGCCCAAAAAATACTCCAGAATGAGGCAATGTTCTGCCCAGAATTACACGGACATACAAGAGAGATTTAAATGACAAGCTATGAGTAGAGTGGCAGAAATTGTTCTGTGTGCATGAGTGGAGTTTCTTTGCCTCTCTCTCTCTCTCACCCTGGATAGGGCAGTATCAACTCACCATGTCTGGCACATCTCTTGGAAAACTTCATAAAATGCAATGAAGATACTTTTTTCCAGTCCAAGTGAGAGCCATTATGGCTAACATCAACAGTCACCTTGTGACACAAAAAGCTACAAAGCTTCCAAAAATAAGAACCGTGAGCTCCTTAAGATTCTTCCCCTTGGGAACAGCTTTGTTAATTTTAAAATTCAGCTTCACATGCTAATAGCTAGAAGGAAAAGCCTTAATAGCCACTGGTTTTCTATTGCAAACACACTCATTTTTCTGTGAAAGAACATCTTCTATTGTAGATGCACCAAAAAAAAGAAAATTACAAAGACAGGATATTAAATGTCATGTCTATTATATTTACCTGGAAACGTGTCTTATTTGTGTTCCTTTTGAAAGCACATAAATTATCAGAGGCTCATTGTTAGTTCAGTGAAAAGCAATGCCAAGATTATTGCCAAGGAATAGATTGCTCTAAAGCTATTTATACATTTTGTTTTCAATAAAAACATGAAAGATTAATACAGTGAGGAAGGCTGCAAGCTTACAGATATTCCAACGCTCTGCTCCAGCCAAAATTGGTCTTGTTTCTTTCTCAGCTCTGTGAATGAAGGCTCTGTTCTAATGAGCGAGGATGCAGCCAAAGCCCACAATGGACACATTTTGTCTAGGTTCTCCAGGGAGCTTTGGCAGACCTTGACTTTGTTTCCAATATCTCAAGGGGGCAAGAAGTGATCTCCATCAAACACACCTATTTTCACTAAGACAGACAAGAATTGTTAAAAAACTCAGCAATGGGACTGGGATCTAAGTGCCTCCTCTGCTCCCTATTATAATCTAAGAAATTGGGTTTTTAACATCAAAAAGGCAATGTAGCTAAATCTTGCTGAAGCATGAAAGAACTCCAGCTTGCAATGTGATTAAAATGTGGATGAAAATTAAAAATTCAGTCCATGGAATAAGATGCTGGACAGAAACCAAATTAATACTCTTATAGCCCCAGAAGTTCTCTAAACTGGATCTTCTGTTGTGTTTTCAATGGTTAATTAAAAGAACCTGTCTGAGTTCACAGGAGTGGGACAAGGCTGCCCAGAGCCCAAAAGTCATCTTAATAATCAGGAATGAACACAGCAGCCTCACACTCAGCTCCCCTCTCACCTGAAATATTTCACAGCCAGAGATCTTGCATATGGCCTTAGCCCCTGTGGGCTGCAGCAGTGCAAGGCCAGTGAGTCGTGGTCTCAGAGGCCCAGCCTGAAAGCTCTGAAGTTCCCCAGCACAAGTAAAAAGTAAACATAGCTGCAGCAGAGCCATAAAGCTGACTTGTTAAATTAAAAATGTCAACTAAATGAGGAGACTCAGGATGTGACTACAGAATAAAAACATTACATTGTAATTGTTGTTTCTGAAATGGAAACACTGATTTCTTCTTTGTTAGTTTACTCAGAATGCCCATACAAGTCAGCCAGGGTTTTCATGGAGTTGCTGCTTGACTTCTAGAGCAGGTCCTCCTCATTACAGCAGGAAAGTATATTAAGTGCAATGAGAGGTGGAAAGATTTAGAATGAAGTAGTTTTTATAGACAAAAGCTTTTTTTTCTGTCAAATATTAACTGGGGAAAAAAAAAAAAGGTAAGGTTTTATATCCTATCCTTACAGTCTCTTGAGCCTGGGCCTTTGTTTTGTTACAATATAATCTCAATGGCAGCTCAGGTGAGAAAGTAGCTGTGCTTTGTGGTCCTGGTACTCAAATCAGCTCACAAAATAACATAGCACAATGTCAGGGCTCAGGTTCTGGAAAATGCATAAAAAGATAATCTTCCTAACGTTCGCTATTCCGTAACTTTCTGATTTGGATGTATGGGGATCATTTATCCCTTTGTCATTCCTCTGAAGGATTTTGGAAATATCCACTTTGCTCTAAGCCTGCAGAGTTTGTCAGTGCACAGATATTAAGATCAAAGTTGTTTACTGTCAGAAAGAGCCAAAAATTGAATTTTAATTTGTGAAAACTTTCCACAGCACTCCAAATTCTGAATAGAACAAAGAACATTTCACCTTTCAACTTCTCCCCCTTTTTTAATTGTGATGCTTCCATTTGAAATAATGAGATGTTTTTGTCCATTGAAACTCATTGAAAGTATTTGATTGCTAGGAGGAAGTCCATTGGTACCCTCACCGGGATTGTTTTCCCATGTGCTGGGAGACAAGAGCTGAGTACAATACTAACAGTGGAATAAAGACACCTCTAGAAGAGAAAGGCATAATAAAATAGTTCTCAATGTATAACAGAAAGGAGAAAAATGTAGTAGGGGAGAAAAAGAGGAAATAAGAAAGCAGGGGGGAAATACATGGGAAAAGAATTATAGGAGACCTTGCTTCCCTCAACACAGGGCAGAAGGGTGAGAAATCCTTATGGGCAGTCTGGGAGCATCCCATGTGATTGCTGGTACTGCAGGGCTCAGGTTTGTTTCCCACAGTCAATGCAAAGGCAGGGTGCACTGGCCCCACAGTTAGGAGGCAGCAGCAAAACTGGTTTATAAAAAACACACCTGAAGAGCAGCAGAGATTGCAAGCCTGTGTGGGAAACACCTGCAGCACTGCCTGGAGCCACAGCCCTGTGCCTCGCTCTCCCTCCCCTCCCTTCCCACACTCACCTCTCTCTCAGACACTCCTGAAAGTGCCTCTGCTGCAGGATCTCTATTCTTGTGGAGCAGCCACATTTTGCTGGGGCACTGGAAAGCACAGGAGATCTGAAAAGGAGAATGAGATAACTTTTCAGGTGAAGAGAGAATGGATGATGGGAGAGGGTGAGCAGGCTCAGAAATCAATATACACCCATACTAACATACTGCCACACTCATAAAATATAAAGCCTGTCTGGACCACCCAGATTATGAACAGGCAATTTCTGTGTCCTTTTCCTACCACAGAGAACCAGAGACCTGGCAGCACTGAGGCTGTCTCTGAAAGGAAAGTCAGATAAAAACAATGGGGAGATCAGCTCACACTGCTGATCCTTTGAAACATCTCTCTGCACTTTAAAATTGACCTATTTCATTTTCTGAACACATTGACCTCAAACCAAAGCCACAATATTTTGAGGAACCACATTTGAACTAGCATGACATCTTCCCACAAAAATATTCCTGAAAAAGCAATAAAAAAATTAAAATGGACAGTCTGAATGAACTGAGGATACCTGAAAATATGCCAATATGCCTGATTAAATTATTCTTACTATTTCAATACATTATGCAGTTTTTCATGTGTGCATTCATTTCTCATATTTTGCATAATCTTTGTGATGACTGTATGCACAAGTGTACCATGTAGAAACAGCAGTGAGCCAATATGATTATCCATTAAACTTAATGAGAAGGTTAGAATTATCTACTATAAAACTAAGATGAAAGCAAAATCACAAATTTAAAAGCTAAGGGCTGAAACATATGCAAGTACAGTTAGTTAATACCCCCTTAACATGCAGAACAATAAATACATCATATAGACATACAGCAAATTTGGATGCGTGTTACCCAAGTGTAACTCAGCTGTGATGGTGTATGAAATGATACATTTAACTCTAATCAGACACATAACTCAGAGGAAGCAAAACCATTAAGTACTTAAGGGCTGTCTTGCAACACTGGAATATTTTTGATAGCCAGATAGCATTCTGTTCTTTTGTGTCTCGGCCAGGCTTGCTGCAGTGACCCTGGGGAGCCTGTTCCAGTGCCCAAACACCCTCTGGGGGAAAACCTTTGCCTTTGCCTAATATCCAACCTGAGCCTCTTCTCAGCTCCACATGAGTTACCTGAGTCCCACTAGTGGTCACCAGAGAGAGAGAGAGAGATCAGTGCCTGCCCCTCCATTTCTGCCTGTGAGGAAGTTGTGGACTGCTCTGAGGTCTCACCTGTGCCTCCTCCACACTTACTAAGCCAAGTGACCTCAGCTGCTCCTCATATGGCTTCCCCTCAAGGCCCTTCACTGTCTTGGTAGCTCTTCAATAGGTTTAAGTCTTTCTTCTATTGTAGCACCCAAAACTGCACTCAAGGTGATACTTTACAGTTTAGTACTCAAAAGAAGCCCTTCTTTAAGAGGGGACTTTAAGGATGCTTTTAGATGTTTGTTCTGACCAAAACTCCTGGTGTGAGAGGGGCTGTGCTCTGGTTCCAAAGCTCACAAGGTGACTTTAAGCCCATGTGTGTCAAAAGACACACACCTTCACTTCACATGTTACCTCAGAAATTTTCCTCACCTCAATTCTCAATTCTCCTGAAAGCATCATATTAAAAATGTACCACTCCCAGTACCCAAAGAGTTATATGCATGTGAAAGAGGTAAATTCACATTCAATTGTTACCCCTTCAAAGGCTATATTATTAAGGTTAAAAAAAAAAAAAAAAATCTCAAACCCCATCAAATACAAATGTTGCCCTCTCCTGCTCCAAACCTCTGAGTGCTGGTGCTCCTGCCCACGGTGCTCACAGGGCACTCTGACCTTTCTCCCTGTCATGCCATGAAAGTGCTTCCCATGAGTTAGCACCACTCTGGGGTCATCCTCTCCAGAGCTTGATGTCTGCAACCTGAGGTGAGAGGCCTTTGCAGAGTGAAGAAATAAAAAGGGTTTCTTTTCTTTACCCAGGTGTTTCTGTGGTAGAATGGGCTAAAAACCTGAGTAGCTGTGAGAATTTGAACAGCAGGCATGCAAAGGCAATATTTAAACAACTCTATAAATGAGATAGGGATGTGTGTCATTGGGTTTGAAGCACTATCTAAAGAGGTTTTATGCTGAAAACACTTCTGTTGAGACATGAGTCACATTAAGCAGCTTTGCGGCAGACAGGGTAGCTCCTCTTTCATGCAATCTCTCTCTCTGAAAGCTTTGATTGAGAACTAAGCCACATTAAGGGTTTAGTGGTTGAGCCTGGAAGCTTCCTTCAGTAAACTCCTTCCTGAATTAATTGCTGCTGAAGCTCATCACCCATAATAATGTTTTCAGAATCTTTCCCCTATTATCTTTCTCTGTCAGGTTAAATTCATCTTTTTGATGTGACACACATTGAACACTGCAAAAGAGAACAAAAGTTTCACTACTCAATAGGGAGAAGCAGCACAGTGTTATTAGTGCCCACAGGTCTGGTTTTGCACTTGGTGAAATACAAAGGACATTTCAGCAGAATTTTAAAGATAAACAGTTGAAAAGAAAGAATTCCCTTGTCCACAGTCCATCAGTCCATCACCTTTAAGGACCATAGCAAGGATTCTTCTACATTCACAGCATTAGGATGTTTCTATGCAACATGTACAAGTGAGAGACCTGCACCAGTCTTACACATAGACAGGCATTAAATAATCAGTTGTGGTTTAGGCTGGGCTCTCTTCCCTTGGTTCTCCTTAGCTGTGAATTGTCTTAGGCTGAAGGTATCCTACAGAAACAAATGGATAGATAAGTCTTGCTCAAAATACTCAGCTGCCAGGCAGGCAGGTGGGGATTGCAAGTTAAAACACTCCCGAGCAGGGCAGAACTCCAGGCCATGGTAAATTCTTAAATTAACAAAGGTGCAAACTCTGTAGTTTCCCTTGCTAGGCACTGCTCCTAAGGGGATTGCAAAAAAAAAAAAAGTCCTACCTTTAATGAGCTAGGATCCAGTTATGCAGGAAATGCAGACACATTTTAAATACCTAGGGATGAAAGGAGAGAAAGGTTAAGACAGCCTTGATTTGGAATCCATCTGAAAATAAATGCAAATTCTCTCTCTGGCAGATGCTTTTAGAACACTTGGAAAAAACCAAACCCCAAAAAATATTTTTCTCTAACGCTCTCATGAAAATACCAATGAATTGAAAAAAATTGCTTAAGCTGTAAGTATAAATGATGTATCTAACAGGTGCCCAAAAGTTTTAAAGCAAATCAAAACAAATTGTTTCTGTAGGCTCAGATTTCCTGTGCATTGGTGTAATACATTTAGTTTTTCAACTTCTTAAAAGCTTTTATATTAAGTTTGGAAAGAAATATCCCTTCAGTCAACAAGACATTGTAAATACATGCCAGTATAAAACATACAAAATATACTTTACTAGAGGTTACTCACATAAATATAAGTTTATATGAACATAAAAATATATTCACTCTTCACTGTGGTGAAGCCAACCACTTAAAAATACACTTGGTCTAATTTCACAGAACTTCCATGTTTTGTGATGGTATCAAACCAAGACTGCAGAGAGCTGAAGGATGATACCAGGTTAAGTGAAAGGGAATCAGAGCCATTCTGCTTTTCTGACAGCCATTATGGTAATGTGATCAGTACCTTGACAGATGCTAAGAAGAATAATTTTGCTGATTGACTTTTCTTCAAACCTAAGGCTGTGGGCAATCAAAGAAAATATGAACATCTGGCTGAGCTTTTGATTGCCATGCTCACTGATATAGTGCACCCAAATAAGCAACAATTAGTACAGCTTGTGTCAAAAGACCCATCAGTTAATTCAAATTAAGTCAGGAAAATTGAATCCAATTGGCATTCATGCATATTTGTATGCAAAGTTTAAATAAGATTCTTCTGCATTACATTATCCTTTATTTACAAGGGAAAAACATGCAAAGTTCTGTGGTTTAAGCAAATATTTTCAAAAGCCTTTTGACTTCTCAAAGCCAAACTTCTGGGAAAACTCTGTGTGCTGTCAAAGGACATATTCAGTCTAATAAATATCAAAATGTGGCAGCTTTTTCAAGTTGATATTCCTCACTTCTTAAAAAATGTCACAAATTTGGATTAGTTATTCATCGGCATTTTGTCAGTAGCAATTACAGCAATGCAGAACTGATATGCAGGGTAAATTAACTAGTTAAGATGGTGGCAAAGATAACTGCCAGAATGTAGCAAGAAAGAAAAATCTGAAAGCTGAAGACTAATTTCCTCATGGTTTTGCTTGATTCTGAGTGTAGAACCCTGGGAATATGTACTTTCTTTTTTAAAAAATAGCTTTCCTGTTGGGATTGTCTTTGTGGTAACAGTAAATTAGGTTGCATGAGAACCTGAGATTAAAACTAATCAAAGGCAAAAGACAAGTTATGTGCCTAATTTTTTAAAAAGATAAATGTAGAAAAAAAGAGTCAAATTGATTTTTATAATTTAATTCTTGCTTCTTGCAGTAAATAAACTTTAGTCATTGTGTGGAAGATATTGTTTCCAAGTTAAGCTGTTTAAATTTTATTTGTAACTTGGATGTGAAATCTGTTTTTTTTTTTCTTAAAAAATAGTGACAGACTCTCTGAGGTGCTATCTGTGCTCAGCTAACTAGAAGTGAAATTTCCTGTAATCTCACCTAAATCTCAGTTATCTTAATCTAACCTAACTCCAAAAACCTGTTACAAAATTCCAGGATTTCTGCAACTCATTCAGATGTGTTAATCTAAAGCCTAAGGCAAACCAGTGTACCTCAGACTATAGAGGGGACAGGGTCACACTGGCAGCCCCAGCTGCAGCTTTGCTCAGGGGCTGGGGTCACATTGCACCTGTAGCCACTGCTCCTGAGTGCCCAGTGCTGTCAGAGCCAGGGAGCTTCAGAGCAGAGCTGGGAATACCTAAAATACTGATAGAGCAGAAGAGAGACCATGCACAGGAGAAGGGTGAGTCAGTCCATTGCTGGGACTCACACACTACATTAGCAGCTGCCACTGATGCAATGAGTATGGCCAAGCAGAGTAATTTATGTTTTTTAGGGTTCCCTTTGTTTTGATGACAAGAAATAGGCTTTCCTAATCACTGACTCAAACACTCTTGAGAACAATCTGATCAATTAATTAGAAAACTGTTACTGTGCTGCCTTCATAAATCAAGAGTTAGCTTGTGATCCGTAACTTCAAACAGTAATTTAGCAGCTGTTTTCTCTAAGTTCTTCCCTTTAAAATACTAATATCTCTTACACATCCATCTTCTCATTCAGAGGTTAAGAGTTCTTCTACTAGTGTTACCTTTAGAAATATAGTTGATGGAAAATCCCTTAGGTAGTCTAATGATATGGTCCAGTTACTCTCAAGTGCACAGGCCCCTTATAAATGCTACTCAAAAATCAATATCAATCCTTCAGCGCCTTCAAAAGATGTGGAGTAAGGGCCATAATAATGGTGATTGCCTCCAGCAAATAACTGCTCAGTGATTATACTGCAGTGGCCTGGAAGTCCAAATCCCCCTCAATAACTTTCAAAATGGATACATGCTGGGAAATGTAAAATCATCCCTAGCAGGCAGGTCAGTAGGTGCACTTTCTAGTCAAGTACCTACTTATTTACTGTGTTGCTCTCTCATTATTGACATAAGATTTTAGAGAAGTCTGCTAAAAAACCCGTAAGCTGCAAACCAGTAGGTCAGCATTTCAGACCTGTTCAGCACAGCAAAGACTACTGTGCATCACAGGAAAATCAGCCAGCAACCCCTCCCTTTGCCTGTTTTATTTAGGAATCTGAAAGTAGACTAAGGAGAATACAATTTCAGAGATTATGGTAGCAGGGAAAAAATCACTCCAAGTGTAAACAACAAAGCAACATTCATAGTTATGACCCCTGACGTTTATTCTCTGAGTAAAGCAGCTGCTTGCTTGGAGTCAGGAACAGGGGAACACTTAGCAAAGTTTGAAGTAGCGTTACTCACTTTACCACTAAGACTCTGGATGTAATGCCACGGCACTTACCTGGAGTTCAAGTTTCCATGGTTTGCACATGAGAAGGTCTCAGTGGACAGTGTCAAAGCACAGGCCAGGTGTAGCAGCCATTGCTTTGACTCTCCACAGAGTCAGCTGCACCACAGGAGTAAGAGACTGGCTACAAGTCATCCAAAGCCCAAGTTGCCTTAGGGCATTGCCTTCCCATCTCATTATCTTCTGCATGCTGATACTGAATCAAAATTAGCCAACCACCCAAAATGGTTTGCCAAGACATCAAGGCTTCCTTAAAGTCTGCTCTTTGGTTGAATCAATGCTTGACCCATGTGTAAAATTCACTCTCAAAAATAAAAGACACAACAAAGTTCTCTCTCTCCAGAGAATTCTTGGCAAATGTGTGCTCCATCTTTCCTAAGAAAGTAATTCCTTGCCATACAGAATAGATAAGCTTGCATAGACAAGCATTTATACTTCACCCTAGCAAAACTTTTAAGTAAAAATACTGGAAAAAATTGTCCTTATACATACATAGAACTATTAACAGCGGTGTTACTTGCTACAAGACACAATGAAGTAATTATATAATAATAAAAAACCCCACTGGAATTTGAAAGACAGTGATGTTTTTGTATGTTAAAAGCAGAAGTACAAAATAAATATTGAAGAACTCCCAACTTTTTATTTTTTTAGTCCTGCATAGGGTTTAAAATATTTTTATTTCAACTGTTTCTCAAATATTAAAGTTTATTTTCTACCAGTATCCCTACCAATTTAAATGTCTTAGCAAGTTTTGGAAAACCAAGCTTTTTTGCAGACATCTGCTGTACCATCCTGCTGAGTTCTACAGCTCCATTAACCATAATAAAATCTTTATGTATGTATACATATCTTTATATATACACATATAACATACTGTTTGTATGAATGTCTATCAAAACTGGAAATATATTGTGCCATCTAGCAGCTGACAGTTCAAGCAATGCATAAATATTACAATAGAGAAATGCTTAGTATGATTTTAGAGCCAGTTTCATTGAAAATTCTCTGAACTGGCCACTCTCTTTGTGCCATCTGTTTTCATAGGACATTCTGGTAGCTGAGGAGGTTTTTATTTCAAAAACTCCAAAAACAAATGTTATGTCCAAATATATGCTCTTCAATAAGTATTAGGTAGTGAAATAAATTAGACTAAGTACATACCCAGGAGTAAAATTTAGGTTTTACAGGCATGAGTACTACCAGAGGTATCAGACTCAGGGAACCCATTATGATTTAGACCTTAGTGATATGACAATAATAAGATACCTTAAGCCTGAATCAGTCAAGTTAATCTCAGCTGTGTGTTAGTGAAGCCATTTTATCCACATAAGTTGATTTTAGTCCATTAAGACAGCCCTTTTACTTCACAGTGTGCATAATCACTACATTTCCCTACCTTCATTTGTCTTCATTCAAGGGAGTACCCAACTACCTTGGTGCTTATTGCCATTAACAAGATTGTGGTTTACCTTAATACAGTGTCAAATGAAGTCACAAAGAGCCTTGAGGATGATAGCAAGAGAAACTGCATTAATGTGCTCAAGGTTACTATGTAGATGAGAAATATAAATGAGGGACGAAATGCAATTCAAGCAAACACTCAGATGGAAAACAAATGTGCCATTGCAGATACACAATTCCTGAAGCAGCGGTATAGGAGTCCTCCTTCACTTGTAATTCTTGTAATGGGATTGAAAATCAGAAGAAATCAGTATTGTTAAGCAATGAAGAAATAGCAGATATTTTTACTAAAGCTGTAATTCAGTGAAATTATAATCTTCTACTGGCAAGACAAGCATTATAAAACATAGAGAGTTAACTGCACGAGCATCCTAAAAGCTTGTGTATTAAAGCTCAAAAGTTCATTGGGCAGAGACAAATCGGCCTAAAAGCTTTCTAGTTCATTTTAACACCTTCTGTTTTTCTCATTAGTGCTGGCACTGATGTTCAGTTATTATTGTAGGATTTGATCATATTTA